TTTATATCTATTATTTATTCAGAAATATGAAAATATGATAAAAAAAAAAAAATCTAAAAATTATCAACATAATCACAAGTAAGTATCTAAAAATAACAATAATGTTCAAAATATTGATAATATTTATTTGTTCTGACCCAAATATTTAAATTGAACTAACTTTTATGCAAATTTAATTATTTAATCCTATATTATTTAAAATTTTATGTTTTATCTTATTTTATTTTTGGATCTTAAGGACTTAAGTATATTTGGATTTTTGTTGAAAATATGTAATTAAAACAGACATTCGAACTCGAATCTAAACTGAACCTGAAATGATTCTAAACAAATGTAAACTAAAATTTGTAAATTGTATGCTTACAAATATTAAAATTCAATTTATAAATAACTGAATGTCCTTAAAATATTATTTATAAATCGAATTATCCAAAAAAATTATCCAAATATATTTTTATTCAAAATATTTAATTTTTTTTAATGATCTGATACTTTTATCCAAACAATTTGAATTACCTGATATTAAACTAAATGCTCTAAATTATCTAATATTTTTTCTATATATCCGTAGTTACCGAAAAAACAAGAATCAAGCCGGAACTAAGTTGGACCTTTTTTTTTTTGAATATTAGAAAATTTCCAACTTTGCTACTAAACCAAACCAAAAACAAAAATCAAAAATTGAGTTTTCTTAATGGTTCATAGATACAATGAATTAATTTAACGGATAGATATAGTTTTAAGATTAAAAAAAAGGAAAAAATTGCCATTAATGAGAATTAAACTTTGTTTGTAAATTTAGGGATATTTTGAAAAATTGGCATTTTATTAAATAAAAAGACAAAAATGTTTCTGTAGTATAGATATGTTATAAATGGATACATTAAAATTACTTAATGTAGTTAATATTATTAATTGATGCATAAAAAATTGTTAATGTAGTTAAAATTATTAATTGATGCATATGTTATATATCATATCATATTGATTGGTTTTATATGAAACAATGATATGAGCAACCAATAGATTATAAACAACTGAAAACTATTAAAAGAACTATTCCTTCATATTAATAACTATTATTCACTCGACATGTAGAACAGCTACAACAATATAGTTTGAAAATAAACAATTTTATCTCATGAAATTTTGTTTAATAGCACAATGCCAAACATTCCGCGCGTAGCGCGGACAAACCACTAGTAAATATTTTAAACCATTTTTTGGCATCAAATATATAAACTATTAAGTTGACAAGTCTTTAATATAATTTGAGAACCTGATCACATTTAAGTACTCTTCGTTTGGGTAAATTTCGGCTTGCCATGTGCCATGATTGTCTTCACTCTTGAGTCTTGACCGACATATTTGCGCAGTCAAAATGGACACACTCAGGAAGAAACATCCCCCTACAAAAACTTTATATGAAATAATTAACAGGGCATTTACATAAAGACATTCCCGATTTAACTCGCTGGAAAGCTTATGAGAGAGGCACGAATATGAGAAGTTTTTTTCTTTTGAATCTACCAATGGATTAATTATTGATATATCTTAAGAGGTAAACAATTTTTAAAATGGTAGTTCATAGAAAATCTGCACGATATATACCGTTGTAGACCAAGTAGTTGATATGAAAGTAGTATTATAATTTATTGATTATATATCATTTCAATCAAACTAAATAAATACGTAACAAAAAGAATATGATTATCGTAGTTTTTGTTTTTATTATTGATTTGTGGACTCGGAACACACGAAGGATATAGTAATGAAATCAGATTAAGTCTACGCTTTGAACTTTGACTAAATCAACTGACTTGAACAAAGATTTCAGCAGCCATAAGTGTGGTATAAGACTATTCAGCGCCAAGATGGACCGGGTGCCAACAATATGTTTATATATGAAACTAAATAATGAGAAAATTATCTAAGCTTTAGCTATATAGGAAGATACAAATAAAGTGCATCAGATTACTAAATTACCATCCAAACACTACAAAGAAAACCCAAACTGTTATTGATGATGATAATAGCCCTGTTCGTTTAGTTGCCGCAGGTTTCTGCGGCTGCGGCTAAGTCTGCGGCTGCGTCTGTTCATTTGTTTGTTGTTTGTTTCGCAGACGCAGAGTTTTGTTTGTTTCATAGACGCAATATATTGACACAGACGCATGACGCAGACGCATGAAAATGATTTATGATGTTCATTTGGCAGACGCACCCGCATAAAGTTTTATTTTCATTTAATTTATATTTTAATTTTAAAAAATTGTAAAATTGTATTTTAAATAAATAAAATGCTGTTTAAATGTATTTTACATCCATGAAAATATTTTATTTAATTGTAATAATTTTTTAGACAAATATACTAATTTAACAACATTTATTTATCATAAATATTATAAATAAAACAAAATTTTAAACCACATAGTCTTAAACCAAAAATAATATATCAAGGTATTTAACAAAAAAAACTAAATAATACATCAAGTCTTAAATAAATAAAACAATGTTTTAAACCAAAAATAATACATCAAAGTATTTAACACAAAACAAAAGCTAAATAATACATCAAGTTTTTAACAATAATATTTAATACGGTAAACGACCTCTACCACATTCATTTGTGATGTTCTTACGCACTTCTTCCATCACTGCATCACGAGTCGGCTCATATGACCTACTAGCTTCTCCTTGTTCTTCACCATTACCATCAGCTTCTTCTCTTTCTCCATCATAACCACTTTGCCATTGTACAAAATCACGATCTTCCCGATGTGAATCACGTATGAAGTTGTGTAGTGCCATCGTCGCTGTTACCAGCTTAATCCATTTGTCCAGACCATACTTTGGATGCTTACGATCCAAACACCTCCATTTTGCTTTCCGTACTCCAAATGTCGTCTCAATCACTGATCGCAAACCTGAATGCTTCCGGTTGAACAACTCTCTTGCATTAACTGGTGGTCCTCCTCTAGCAAACTGACCAAGATGGTATCTCATACTACGATGCGGACCAAGATATCCTGTCCTGGTCGGATATCCGGAGTCAACTAGATAATACTTTCCAGGAGGAGGATGTGGGAAAGAAGCCTCATGTGCTCTACCAGGTACACCAAGATAAGCATATATGAACTTCATGTCGAAGTTACATATAGCAAGAACATTCATTGTAGGATCTTGCTTTCTGCCTCTGAATGCTTCTGAATTTTCAGGAGGAGGACGAACCGGGACATGAGTTCCATCAAGTGCTCCAACACAACCTCTGAAATAAGGCCAATACCGATCATCATTCCTCAAAACAGGATTTACTCTTGAAAATTCACCTTCCTGTGGTTGTAGTGTATCATTTGCAAACTTCAGAAGAGCACTCAAAACATCCTCAAGCTTCCTTTTCACCGTATCATTTGCTCGTTGATATCTTTCACTTATATCCCGCACCGTCTTATCCTGACCAACCATCTCAAGAAACATTGCAACAAATTCTTCAATGTAGACATTGTGAGACTCTTGTAATCCATACCGCTCAACTAACATCTTACACAAAGCCTGAAAAGTTGCTTGATTCATTCGAAGAATGTCATAACAATGTTGATCTGAATCATACATTAGTTGTTGAACATGACGCCATCCTGCTCCTTGATCTGTTATATGACTCAATCTCCCATTAGTAACCATATAAAACACACCAAGTTCATCATCATAATCACCATCCTCATCTTCCAGTATCCATCTTTTAAGCATCTACAAAATCATTAAAAAAATTATCATCAATAAACAAATAAAAAACATTAAAGTTTTACTAAACAAATAGCAACACAATTAAATGTAAAGATTATGTTCTAACGTTCATATTGCTTTATAGGCTGATGGACCATCTATATCAAACATAAAGATCACAAGACAGCGAGATTAACGCGTTTAGAACGTAAGTCTAAAGCAAATATTATAAAGTCAAATCTCTTAAACAGATAGCAAACGATACAATACTAAAGTCATACAATACTAAAGTCATACTAGTTCCATCACAAAAGCAATACCAAAAGATCACAAAAGCAATACCAAAAGATCACAAAATACTAGTCCTAAGCTCCATACTAATTCCAACTCTCTTGCCATTAGGACCAAACTAACTAACTACTCATCATCACGTTTCATCTTGGTCCTAAACTCCAGAAACTTAGTCTTAGCTTCATCTGTCTTCATTGTCATAAAACCCCTTCGGCTCCCTTCACTATCTATAAGAAGTTCTAATGCTGCTCCATATAATGGAGACCACTCTCTCACTGCAGGCAACGCATTCAGTATCAGCAACACATTTTCAATACTAAAGGCTTCTTCACGCTCTAGCAGCCGTTCCGCTATCCTATTTTTCACCTCAATAGTTGCAGTCCGTTTGTCACAAGACTCTACAACCACATCTTTCTCTTTACGCATTCTTTTGGCGCTTGAACTTCCAGAGTGAGCCGCAGGCTGAGTTTGAGCTGCTGGCTGAGTTTGAGCTGCTGGCTGAGTTTCTGTCTCCAATGCTTGAGTGTCTGCTATTGGCTTCATCACCATCATCTCCATCCACTCTAGAATTCAAACTTGCTTCTCCATGTTGAGCACTCCATCCTTCTGCTCCAGTTACAATTACACCACGGAACTCCTCTTCAAACACATCCATATTAAGTTCCTCTTTCCATACAGATCTTCTAATCCCTGGACACTCCTATAAAAAAAAAAAAAGTAAGACACAGTTATATACATGAACATCGAGACAACAAATATATTAGGTTAAGGGTAAAACAGTAAATAAGTTAAGTAGATGCAGATTTTAGTCGCGACCGCTGATTTTTTCTGCGTCTGACGCTGGTTGTTGCGGTTGGCCGCAGACGCAGACGCCGATACTTGCGTCAATGAAACGAACACGAAACATAGCCCCAGACGCAGACGCGGAACCTGCGTCGACGAAACGAACAGCACTAATGAGTTAGGTTTGATGGCCGCGAGACTAGCCAATGCCGCAGCCTTTCCAATGGTTCTTAAGGCCTCCCTCGAGCTTGGTGTTTTTGACACTCTCCACGGCAGAAGCCACTCGCAGCGACTCTTTCCTCTCAACATCTGAGATAGTGAGTAGGCTACCAACTACGCCACGTAACCCTGAGGCTCCGGTTTTGTTGGACCGGATGCTTCGCCTACTCGCTAGTTACTCCATGGTCAAATGCGGTAAGGTCTCATCCGGGAATGGCGAGAGGGTCTACAGAGCTGAGCCAATTTGTAGGCTTTTCTTGAAAGACAACATTCAAGATGTTGGATCCCTTGCTTCTCAAGTCATTGTCAATTTTGATAGCGTCTTTCTCGATGCCTGGTAAATTTCTATTTAACTGTTAAAACTTTAGAAAGTATAAAGCGCAATGAATCAAAGTGTTGATATGATATATTCTCAGGGGACAATTGATGATCTTGAAAGTAGGCTCAAAATCTCTCTTATATCTCATATTTTTTAAATGTGTGTATTGTAGAACTATGCATATTTACTTTGTTAATTTAAATTGTTTTACAGCGTATACTTGAACTAGTGGGAAATCACTACCAGAGAACGGTAAAGTTGTTATCATAGAACTAGTCACTCCTGATGACGCTGAGAATGGAGATATCAACGCAAACATTGCCTTTGATATGGATATGTTGATGTTCACACAATGTTCTGGTGGAAAAGAGAGATCACGAGCTGAGTTTGAAGCATTAGCAATGGAATCAGGATTTACCCATTGCAAATTCGTTTGTCAAGCTTACCACTGCTGGATTATTGAGTTTGGCAAATAAAATGTTTAGTATATAATACTAAATCCTCAACAATTTGTTAATTTTATCTTTGTTTCAATTCCTTGTTTGTGTGTGACTTTGTCCTACTCTCCAAAGCAATGAAATAAAAAATGGCATTTTCATGTATTTCTAGTTGTCAAGGTTGTCCTCTTCAAGAGCTTTTAATTAATTAGTCAACTATATTTAGAAGAAAATTGATTAAAATGGTGACATTACATAAGAAAACATCACAAAGATCCACAGCCTCTTACCGAAGAAGAGGTGAATTCGAAATAATATTTTCAAAAGGATACAACGATAGTAGAATCCAAAAATTAAACTACTTATACAAATTCAATAAATAAATTCGAAGATGCAGTTCAATAAAGCGAGGAAGGTGATTGTGTTTCATATTATATTTGATTTCTATGTTCGTAGCATGTAATTTGTATTAATTAATTAGGGATGTGTTATAGAATCTTATATATTAAAATAGAATCCATGACTTCTTTCATGTGTGATTTTTTTTTTAATTTGGACCATACATAGAATATTTATTAAATTTTACATCATTATAATATCTTTTCATATCTTTAATTTTTAATTGAAATATAAATCAATATTTTTATATGAAAATTCTAACAAATAGTTTTAATATCTTATAGAATCCTTTAAAATGTATTTTCAAAAATTAGTTAAAGTTTTAATTATCACGAAATATAATTAAGTTTAATTCATTTCTGATTTGTAAACAAAAATTAAAAATTATGTAAAAATACTTTTAACAGCCTCCCAAAAATTTGCTTCTCTATATAGTAGTTTCAACTTAATTTTATTTTATCCTATATTTCAAATTTAGAAATAAAGAAAAAAATCTGTAGTTAGTATTAAAATAGAATTCATGATGTCTTTCATATGTGATTTTTTTTTAATTTAGATCATCCTAATAAGGTTATTAAAATTTACATAAAATAATTATAATATATCTTCATGTCTTTAATTCTTATTTGAAATAAAAATAAATAATTTTATGAAATTTCTAGAAAAATATATTTTAAATATTTTAAAATATATGTTCAGAAATTTATTAAAATTTTAGTTATCATAAAATACATTTAAAATTTAATCCATTTTTCTATATAAAATTTTTTAGCAATTATGTAAAATACTTTTAAGAATATCCAAAAAATTTGCTTCTCTATTGTGTAATCCAACTTAATTTAATTTCCGCATATTTTTAAATTTAGAAGTAAAACAAAAAAAATATGTAAATTAGTATTTTACATAATAATGTTCTTAAAACATTTTTGTTAAAAATAAAAATTTATAAATTTTATGGTATTAATAGTATAGGACACACAAATATTATTATAAAGTTAGATAATACTCCCTCTCTTTCAAAATAATCCATGTTTTAGAAAATTGTTTTTTTTTTTAAATCTATATTTTACATCTTCAATACATATAATAATGATAAATTGTGAAATTCAAAAATATTAATTGTGTTAATTGAATTTCGATTGATTGGAAATTATTGAAAATAGTTAATCACAAAAACTAATGCATTTATTTACATGTTTTCTTAATATGTATAATAACTCTAAAACATATATTCTTTTGAAACAGATGGGATATAACATCAAATTATATTAACTTTTTTGGGGCAACAATTTATATTAATTTATTGATAAATTTTATTGGATAACTTAAAATATTTTAGTATTTAAAAAATCTGCACCAAGATCTAGTTATATGTATAAATATGAAACATATACATTAAGTTACTACTTTGAACCTTTCACCTATAAGAGGAGATAGAATTATTTTACTACTGGACTAAAGTTACTTTTGTAACATTTAGGGACCGATATTTCTCTTAATAAATGAAGGCCGAAAGCCCTTGCTTCTAGCAAGGGTTCAGAGCTAACCAGTCACATTATTATTTTTGGCTTGTAGCCTCAACAAAACAAGTAATTATCTCTCTATGTCATTTATTAAAATTATTATTTTTTGGCTTATAGCCCGTGCTGTTATGTCATTTATTTGAGTAATTATCTTCTTGCACAACAAATATGCAACGTTCCTATCCATAACCATTGCTCCACCTACGTCCATATATAACCATGCAAAAATGGTAATTTCGGCCGGAGACGTAAGTCACGTAACACCTTTGTAATTTACTTAAACTGGTTATATGGCTACTTTAATAATTTATCATGGTTAATTGGTCTAATTAACCCTAGATTATCATTGAGTCCAAGTTAATAAAGTATGACAATCCAAAACTCGTGAACTTCCTGGAAGCACAATTCATGATGGTCGGGGCCGGCCCTAAAATTTCGGGGGCCTGAAACAAAATAGAAAACGGGGGTCAGTATACAATATCACAAAAATAATAGAAATAAACTTGTAAAAATAATTTCAAATACAAAATACTAATAAGACACAAGTCTCCTCACAGAAAAAAATAACAATTGTCTACATCTTTTGAAACAAATTTAAAGTGGGCTGTATATGATTAGTCAAATTTTATATATATAAAATAATTGAATTTTTATTTTTTGGGGATCTATAAAATTGGAGACATGTTGTAAATGTTTCATGAAGCAGTGTCAAGGGCCGGCAGTGATGATGGCTTACACTCACTTCGGTCCAATTGTAATTGTAGCATATTTTTCTTGCCCTTCCTATGTCGCAATCGTTCTCAATTCTAATCAAGTGGCAGCTATGTGTGACTCTCTGAGTATCAAAATATTATGTCGACCAAAATTGAAGAACAAAAAAACAAAAGAAAATAAATATTTTACTATTTTTCTTTTATAGACAATACTAAAAGTGATATACGATCTACATACTCTTAAACGACCATCTATTCTATTAAAATAGAGTCATTCTTTTTATCTATTGATACAAGTTGTCATTTAAATTTGGACTCTTTCTAGAATGTTATAAATAATATAAGTTATATAATTGATTGAACTGTATTACTTAAATTAAACCAACACAATTAATGTAAAAGACGACCTTAATGTAAACTACCTTCAAAATATGGCAGATATCTATGTGTATACCAAAAACACATATTTTCTCCTACAAATATGGAATGTTCTAAAATAATATATATCATCAAAATATGAAATATGGAAATCTACTAATTATACTTAAATTAAACCAGTGGTTATTTATGGAATATAGTCTTGATCTTAATTTTATTTTTTGAACAAATTATATAGTTTAGTTTTTAGGCTTAGTATTAAGAAAAAACTCCAAAAAACATTGAATAAACTTTGCACCTTAAAAGATCATAAAACCAATTATTATTTTCAGACCCAAAAGGTATTTAATATTTTTTTGCTTTGTTTATTTACAAAATAAACTATTTCAATTTTTTTTTTAAATTTTTTTTCATCTTTGTTTATTTGAGATTTGTTTGTTGGTAATATCAGTTCAAACTAACTCAGCGGGTTTAAAAATTAAAAACTCAAACCAAAAACTGAAAATGAAAAGTAGAAACTTAAAAACTAAAAACCAAAAACCAAAATCTAAAAATAAAAATTGAAACTAAAAACTAATGAAAAACAATCACCACCACAAATTTTGGTGAACTGATTTTATATCAAAATATTCTTTAAATTAAGAGAAAACCCAATTATATAAATTTTTAATCATAAAAATTTTTGGCGCTTTTCAAGCGCGGATTAAAATCTAGTAGTGATTAAACTAAAGTCTCCTTTGAAGATTGACTTAAAAACAAACTGACTTGAAACAAGATCTGACTGTTTCAGCCGCCGCTAGTGGCTCTTGGATATTATTTAGCCAGCAAAATGGACCGGCCCGCCAATAATATTAATTGAAATTAAATAACAAAGAGGAGGTTAAGCCTTTCGCTATAAAAGAAAAAGCTAAGATCCATCAAATCATCATCCAGACTTGAAAACACACATTTACACCAGCCCCTCTATCTATCCTCGCTTCTGATCAGTGTCACCACGCACGGTACCGTGACTGAGAAGAAAGAAAAGAATGGGAATCCTTAATGAAGAAACCTTAAGCTCTAACACCAAAACCCAAATTGTTGTTGATGATGATAACGAGTTGGGGTTGATGGCCGTGAGACTAGCCAATGCCGCAGCCTTTCCAATGGTTCTCAAAGCTGCCCTCGAGCTCGGTGTCTTTGACACTCTCTACACTGCCTCGGTGTTCCTCTCACCTTCTGAGATATCAAGTCGACTACCAACCATTCCTCGTAACCCCGGAGCTCCGGTTTTGCTGGACCGGATGCTTCGTCTACTCGCTAGTTACTCCATGGTCAAATGCGGTACGGTCCAAGCCGGAAAGGGGGAGAGGGTCTACAGAGCTGAGCCAATTTGTAGGTTCTTCTTGAAAGATAACATTCAAGATATTGGATCCTTAGCTTCTCAAGTCATTGTCAATTTTGACAGTGTCTTCCTCAACACCTGGTAAGTCTCTATTTAAAAATTGAAATGTCTCAAAATAAAAGACGCAATGACTGTTGTAGATATGGGACCAGTTAACGTATTATGTAGGTTCTACAATTTTTTCAACAATTTGTTGTAACACTTTTACTTTGTTTTCTTTTTTATTGAAATGATATTTACATTCTTAGTGTGAATCAATCTTACATTGTTGATATGCCATATTTTCAGGGCACAGTTGAAAGATGTGGTGCTTGAAGGAGGAGATGCATTTGGTCGTGCACATGGTGGCATGAAACTCTTTGACTATATGGGTACAGATGAGAGATTCAGCAAGCTCTTCAACCAAACCTGATTCACAATTGCGGTTGTAAAGAAGGCGCTGGAAGTTTATCAAGGCTTCAAAGATGTGAATGTGTTGGTTGATGTTGGAGGAGGAGTTGGAAACACCCTTGGCGTTGTTACTTCTAAGTATCCCAATATTAAGGGTATCAACTTTGATCTCACTTGTGCCTTGGAACAAGCACCTTCCTACCCTGGTGTAGAACATGTAGCTGGAGATATGTTTGTGGATGTTCCAAAGGGAGATGCCATGATCTTGAAAGTAAGTTCATCAACTATCTTATTATACTTCTTAAAAGTGTATATGTATATTTGTATCTTGTACTTACATATGGGATCAAATTTGTTTATACAGCGTATACTTCATGATTGGACCGACGAAGACTGCGTAAAGATTCTTAAAAATTGTTGGAAATCACTTCCTGAAGATGGTAAAGTGGTTGTCATAGAACTAGTCACTCCTGATGACGCTGAGAATGGGGACATCAATGCAAACATCGCCTTTGACATGGACATGTTAATGTTCACACAATGTTCTGGTGGGAAAGAGAGGTCACGTGCTGAGTTTGAAGCTCTAGCCGCTGCTTCTGGCTTCACTCATTGCAAGTTCGTTTGTCCCGCTTATCACTGCTGGATCATTGAGTTCTGTAAAGAAAATGTGTAAAAATACAAAAACTAAATCCTCACGTGAAGTTAATCTTTTGTTCAATTGTTTGTTTGTAATGAGTTAATGATCACACCTCTCTCTTTGTCTTGGAGCAATATGAAATAAGAAGTATGTTTTTATATTATTTTGTCATTATACTCTTTACGAACCAGTTTTCATTACATTTAGTCACATGAATTGCAATGGTTACTCTTTGAAGAGCCCACAAGTCACACACTCACAAGTGCATATTCATTACTCAACGGTCGGCTAATCTCGTTTGTTTTATTCCTCTCTATCTTTACTTGATTGTCTTCTTACATTCATGGGAAATAACGGCTACTTCTCTAATTCAACGTTTCATTCTTTCTCCTATTGCAAAAGCTTGAGAGGGAATCTTGTTCACAGGAATCTTCACATGATTTAAAATCTAATGTTCCACTATATGTCTAATGTTCTGAAATCAAGAAAGCAAAAAAGGAAAGGACACAGTACAGTACAGCTAAGATAAAAGCAAGCTATAAACTATACATGCTTCTATTTTTCTAGTGGGGACCCAAAAATTCTGAAAAGAAATCTGAGAATTTTTTTTTGAGTGAGTGGCTAGTGGAGACCACTGAGACATTAGAAAGAACCCACATTACTTTATAAAAGATGCACATTACAAAATATAAACGACCTAACATTCTAACAAAAGACATCCTAACCATAAGCGAAAAAGCAAAAGGGAGAATGAATGAATGATTACGAGATCAAAGTTAAATTGTAATTAGCATTATAGGATCAGAAAACGTAATCATTCATCCATTGAAAAAGCTACTAATACTCTCTCTACAGTAGAAGAAACATGGCTACACAGCACACAACTAGCTCCACCGTTACTGTCATCATTACCTGCACACATACACACACACATCATCAAACATTTCAATAAAGCAATAATTATTTTTAGTTTGTTGTTGTTGCAATGAGTGTGTGTACCTGATGATGTGCTGAGTTTGTGGAAGTGGGTAAAGGGTTAATGGAAGTAGAGTCAACTTCTCCGGTGGGAAGTGGAACAGCCGGATTACTGTTGATAAACGGAACTCCGTCTTTTCCTGGAACCGTAACCGACGTGATCTCTGAAGGAGATGGTCCAGGAGATAAAGCTGAACCTTCTCTTGGACCTAATGGCCACGGGTAAGAAGGAGAAGATGAGACCTCTCCTCCTTCGGAGACGGGAACAGGAGCTATAGCTGGTGTTGGTGGCTGTGACGGTGAAGATGCGGCTGCGAGGATGACTTGGACTGTGAGCTTCTGGCAGGTCTTGGGAAGAGATGTGTTGTTTGTGAAGGAAAAGTAGTAGGAGCCTGGTCTTGATGGGTACCACTGCGTTAAGAGTGAAAGTTACAAAATGTCAGTTTGAAAACTTAGATGGTTTTTGATGCAGTTCAGATGCAACTTATCGACTAGTGTGATTGTCATTGAGACATGAGCACATGACTTTTGTGTATTAACCCATTGGTTTAACCAACTTTTTCAATTATTTTAGTCAGAAAAGACCATCAAAGTTCGAGTTTAGTATTTGGTAATACAGTTAACTAATGACGAAAAGATAAAGCAGAGGAATTCATTCAAGTGTGATTAGTATTTGGTAATACAGTTAACTAATATCTAATGACAATTCAAGATTATTAAAGTTAATGTCAAAGTTTGAAACTTTGAACTTTTAAGAAGGTAAAAAGAAAGATTAGTAGCCGAGATGCTTCTTTAACTTTGATTATCATTGAGCCTTGAACATATGACTTTTCGTGTGTAAAATTATTAATTTAATCAATTTTTAAATTATGTTGTCAGAACAAAGCATCGGATTACAAGTTCTATTTAATAGTTTACTGAAACTTATTAAATTAATGACGGAAAGAGGGTTTCAGACATAAAAACAGAGGAAAACAGGGGAAGAGGTTTCTTTTGTCAATCTCAAGAACAGAGAAGAAAAAGGGTAACTTGTAAACATCAAAACTTTATGAAATGTCAGAGAAACCCAGATGAAATTCACACCCTTTCAAGCAATTTCTCTATAATTATTTCATAATTTGTAACGAAAATAAGAGAGATGTGAATTTGAGAAGAGATATGTATTACTGTGAAGGAGGTGGAGTTAGATTTTGTAAGGAGAGTAGCTTGAGTAAAGTCGCAGACATTGAATGCATCTTTTGTCCTAAAGATGTATAGATCGTTTCCGTACTTATGTCTGAAAACTGGAGGTAAAACATCAGAAAACCGTTAATTAGAAAGAGAAAATATAGCAAAAAATAGGGAAATAAAAGGACTGGTTTTGTAAATACACTACTTACTAACGGAATCGCCGACATGAACAACGGGAGTTTTCCAGACAGAGACACCATCGACGAGAAATGAGGCAGAGAGAGAAGGACGAAAGAAGAAAGATAGGAAGCAGAAGAGAAAGAAGAGCAGCTTTGAGGAGTAGAAAGAGAGACGTTGCTGAGATGAAACCATTTTTGTCTGAAATGAAGAGAAGCCTGAGTGTGAGCAAAATAAAAAGAGAGGTAAAGAGCTTCAATGATGTCTGCCCTTTTTATCTTGGCAGGCCTCTCTCTCTCTCTCACTCACTAACAGTAGGTCAAAAGAGAGGTTTAGTGTGCTATTTAGCTTAGGGAGAAAAGAAGAAAAGAAAAGAAAAATAAAAAGACAGAGAGAGATACTAGAAAGAGAAATATTTTGAGAAGTGTGCAGTGAGTGTCTCTGTCTGTTTTACTTTTATGTGTGTCTGTGAATGGAGAAGATTTGAAAAGTTTGAGGACTGTTTCTAATTTATTAATCTTTTCTATAACTATCTTATATATTAAAACAGAAGTCATGACTTCAATTCATGTGTGATTTTTTAAAAAATAGACACCTATTAAAAATCATTTATCATTCATCTTATTACTAATAATATGGTTTAATAATATATCACTCTTAATATGACCATTAACTTCCCCAAAACCACGTTGGTTAAACGTAAAATCAATTCTATAAGAAAATAAATTTCTCTTGCCTCCTCCTTTGTCAATATAGCGAGCAGTATTATTGAACACCCTCACCATTGGAACAATACCATTAGATTCTCCATTTGTGCCACGAATGCAACTTCTAATTGCTGGATGTTGTGAACCGAAACACCCCAAACCTTGATATGTAAAATGATTTGATGTTAAGGTCAATGGATAAATTATTCAATATTGGTCTTTGTGTCTTTCGGTTGGATTGTTTTTGCATCCGAGGACACAGTGATCATTTTTGATTAAAAAAAACGAATGAGTTTTTATTGTTGTTAATACAATGTCCAGAAGACACATAAATTAGGATCCATTAAACGTTACTTTATTTGATTGTTAACCTTGAACATTTGTTAATAATTTTATTACTTTATGAACTGAACAACATGAGTATTTAGAGAAGATGAACATGGTACAGTATTAACGTAAACGATATATTAAAAATTTAAAGAGTAAATAAATTTGATAAATAATTTATATATCAACCAATAGTATCGTGCATAATATCTTAGCAAAATATATTGTTTCCTAATTAGTTTTTTTTGCAAAAATTTCTGTTCAGTCCTTTTTTTTGTAACTATATTCAGTCCATTTAGGCTTATAATTCTAACTAGACATGCTCAAACACATAAACATATATCTTCAAAACGGAAGATCACATATCTATTTACCTCGAGATTTTTCAAAACACATATTTTCAAATCTAAATTTAACAAGATCTTTTAAACCTATCATTTACGAATATTTTCCATTTTTTTGGTCGGTTTTAAATGTATCTACACAATATGTTATAATTTGAGGGTTTAAAAGAAGAATATTCTTCATCTATATATGATATTGTGTGTTGGCGTGATCTACTCATCTCTTTTCCTAAATCTTATATATTAAAACAGAAATCACAACATTAATTCATGTGTGATTTTTTGAAAATTGACTATTTCTAGATCTTGAAACTTTTACTATATTCATAAATTCTATCAAAACTGTTTAAAATATTATAACAAGATCTTAATTGTCAAAAATTGAACATAAATATTTTCACTAATTTCATAATTAGTCATAAAATGTTATTATACATTGATATATATATATATATATATATATTCAGCTATATTTTATAAAGTGAAAAGAATAAAATTATATCATATTTTATCTATTTTCTAATAATATCTATCATTTTACAAGAAAACCATTATACTGAACTAAATATGATAAAGATTTTTGAAATTGATAAGTTAATACATTTATGTTAATAAATATAAAATATTTATTCTAAAAATATAATATGTTGGTAGACCGGGTTATTATTCCTAAACTATATAATTCATGTATAAAAGTTAATTTATCGAAACTTTTTATATATAGTAATTTATTATATAAAATAAATAAATAAAAATTGCTATCTAACATTTTGAATTACGGATTACGATCATAATAAATATAAAAAAAAACTTTCAAATATGTTTTTTATAATCAAACGCAAATTCAATAAAAAAAATATATAATGAGAAGAAAAATATATATGTGATGATTTAAATTTATAGCATTAAAACTATAAAATTATTGTATTTTAAATAATTATACAAATATTTAAATATGTGAATAACATTAAAATGTATATTTTCATCCGTAAAAAAAATATTTATATATAAACATGAAAATATATACCCGCACGGTTGTGCGGGTCGAAATCTAGTAGTAAATTAAAAATGAAGAAAATTAAATTATTTGAGTATGAATTATGCCTAACAAGGTACAAGTTTGCATTTAAAAGACATTTTGACTAGTGCAAGTGTATAACTATTTTTCTTGGATTTATATTACTAGACTCATATAAATAGATTAGACTCTTATATATAAATAAATTTAGTTTTACTCTTATAAACTGACTAATCTTTTGTTTGGACCAAACTTACACAGTGCTCATGGTTTATTAGTTCAAGAAGAAGATTGGAAGACAGGTAATTTACAGAAGGGAAGGTAGGAATCTCTCCTTAAGCGATTTTAGGAAAAGGATTAAAAATGAAAAAGGTACCATCATTTTTGTTACCAACAAAAAGTTACAAAGTATAAGATACATTTTAAAA